TTTTTTAGAATCCACATATAAGTGAGATCATATGGTATTTGTCTTTCTCTGACTGACTTATTTCACTTAGCATAATGTTCTCTAGTTCCATCCATATCATTGCAAATGGTACTATTTCCTTCTTTATAGCTGAGTAATACTCCATTGTATAAGTGTACCATAGTTTCTTAATACAGTCATCTACCGATGCGCATTTTGGTTGTTTCCAAGTTGTTTCTATTATTTTAAACAAACTGTTACCTGTGAGGTCAATTAAGAATAACAAAAATAGAAGTTCCTAATTTATCTTCACTTATTTCTTCTCTGACACTCTTCCTTTCTCTATGTAGATCTAAGTTTCCGATCTGTATTATTTTCCTTCTTTCTGAAGAACTTCTTTTAACATTTTTTTCACAGCAAGTCTACTGGCAATGGATTCCATCAATGTTTGTCTGAGAAAACTTTCTTTTGAAGTATAATTTCTCAAGTAACAACATTTTAGGTTGGTGGGGTTTTTTACCCCCTTGACACTTGAAATATATCACTTCACTCTTTTTCCTTATATGGTTTCTGAGGAGAAATTGGATGTAATTCTTATATTTGCACTTCTGTAGGGAAGGTGTTTTCCCCCTCTGGATTTTTTTCAAGATTTTTTTTTTTTTAATCTTTGATTTTCCATAGTATATATATTATATGCCTCGGTGTTGTTTTTGGATTTTCAGGGGGTTTCATGTTTGCTTGTTTGTTGTTTGCATTTATCCTGCTTGGTGTTCTCTGAGCTTCCTGGATGTGTGGTTTGGTGTCTGACATTAATTTGGGGAAATTCTCAAATGTTATTGATTTAAATATTTCTTCTGTTATTTCTCTTTCTTCTTCTGATATTCACAGTTTCTGTTGACATGTCCTCAAGCTCAGAGATTCTTTCCTCATCAACTTCCAGCCTGCTAATGAGCCCATCAAAGACAATTCTTCATTTATGTTACAGTGTTTTTTATTGCCAGAATTCTTTTTTTAGAATTCCCAGCTCTCTGTTTACCTGTTCTTGCATGTTGTCTGCTTTTTCCAGTAGAGCCCTTAGCATGTTAATCATAATTATTTTGAATTGCTCATCTGATAATTCCAACATTCCTGGCATATCGGACTCTGCCTCTGAATCTTGTTCTGAGTCTTCACACTGTGGCTCTTGCCCTTCAGTGTGCCTTGGTAGAAAGTCAGACATGAACGAGGTAAAAGGAAGGCAGTAACTAGGCCGTTAGTGGTGTCAGGTGAGGTGTGGGTAGAGCGGAAGTGTCCCATAGGCCTGTGGTAGGACTCAGTCTTTTGTGAACCTTGGCCTGTGGGCTCTGCACTGGTAAGTGCTCGGCAGTTCTCACCCCCAAGCTTTAGGTGGGATCGGAGGGCTGGAGGGAACTGGAGTGGGGTTTTTCCCTTGGCCCGGTCAGTTAGGCTCTGGTAAAACCCTGGTCAATTAGACTCTGGTAAAATAATTGGTCTTGAGGGCAGGCCTTATTAAACGCAGAGAATGGCTACTTCTGCCTTCTCCCTGCTAGAAGCGCAAGGAGATTTTCTCTAATCTTTACCGTTAGGATCTGATAGAGGACCTGAGGGATGTAAAACTCACAGAAGTGTAAGTGTGTCCCCCTACGGCTGGGTTCCTCTGGAGTTTTTAACTCTTAACACTTGTCCACACTGAGCCTGCAGCATTTCATCAATTACAGCTCAGGTTTTCCTCCCCTGGTACTGGTTTCTGTGGTGGTTTCTGCTCGGGTTCCAGTAATGTCTGATTCTCGGTATCTTCCTATCTGTCTGCAATTTGTGGGCAGAAGTTGCCCTGTGACCTCAGTTCTCTGAGGGATCTAAGGAGAGTTGTTGATTTTCAGTTTATTCAGCTTTTTACTTGTTGTTAGGCTAGAGCGACAACTTCCAAGCTCCTTACGTGCTGGACCAGAAACCAGAGGTCTCTCATGGACTTTCAGATTCAACAATGAAATAAAGATGCCTAAATATATATCATGTGAAAATCTTTGCAAGTACTTGGGGTTTTAAATATAGAAGGTCTTTTAGAGATAGTGCAGCCAGCCTTCTTAACTTCAGAGAATTATATTTGATGAGTCCCAGATTTGATACAAAATCAGAAAATCTGGTTAGGTTAAAACAAAATATATCTCAATTTATAGAGGCACTGAGTTTTGTAGGTTAGGCTCTTAGCCCTAATTTTTTTTTCTTTATAGTGATTATAATCCTGGAGTAAAATGCCAATTTAAAAATAAAATTTGTATTTATTTTGCCTAATACTGAAATAGGTTTATTAATACTGATACTTTAAAAATTATTTAAATTTCATAATATATAAAATTAAATTAAATATGTGGTATGTTTCATGTGCCAACATTTATAAGCCTATTTCAAATAAAGGTTCATATTTATAGGAGGAATTCTTAGTAATCAAGGTAATGGCAAGTGATGGGAAATAAGGTCAGATAGAGAGATGGAGGCCAGATCATTTATTTTGTTTACTTAATGAGTTTGGATATTACTTTCAGTGCAATGAAAAATAAACTCCCGCTTACACATTTCGATTTATATTTCAAAAATATCACTCTGGCAGGTATGTGGCATATATTACTGTAGGGTACAGTAGGTGAAACAGGAACTCCACCAAGATGATTATATAAATAATATATGTGGAGAGGATATAAGTTAGCATAGGGTGGTAGTGGTGGAGACAGAAGTGGATGGACTTGAGATATGCTTTAGAGGTAGAGTTGACACAATTTGCTAATGGATTGGGTAGAGTAGATTATTGAGATAAGAGGGATCAAGGATAACTCACATTTAAAAATTTTTTTATTTGGTTTTGTTTGGATAGTGCTGCCATTTGCTGAAATGGGAAGACTGTGGAAAGAGCATATTTGTTGTTTTTAAAAAATCGTGAAGCTGATCTCTTCCCCTGGCAAGGACTGTGAGGGTAAAGAGGGGGAGGAGCCAAGTGGAAAGCTCAGCAGACGGGAGGAAACAGCTCTAAAGGCCGAGACGCAGCTGTCACTGAAGTAGGACGCAAACCAGGGCCATGCTGTATCGCACATGCCTGCACAAGAAAGTGCGGCATGACAACATGGCCACCTTTGTCAAAAGCTGCTACGATATGCAGTAAGATGAGCGCGAGAAAGTGACCACTGACTTTAATCACATGAATGGAAGGTTATTGATGACGATACTGACAAGTCTTAGTAGGACGTGAGGGTAGAAAACTGCAGTAGGCTGAGCAGAGAATAGCTGGTGAGAAGAAACTGGAGACATCTATAGACATTTCTTTCCAATATTTTTACCCGGAAGTAGAGCAAAGAGAAGGGGTGGTCATTTGAGAAGTGTGGAATCAAAGGAGATTCTAGAGCATGTTTCTAAGCTTATGGTCTAGTGTGATGTGGTAGAGAGGAGGGAAGCCATTGATGGGGAATGGAAAGTGATAGGAACAGAACTGTCGACATTAACAGCCATAAGGGAGAGTGTGGAAAAAGGTACAGGGTGCAGTACAAGGTGATAGATTTGGTGATGGGACGTGAGATAGTTCCTGCCCAGTTCTGTTTTCCCAGCGGTTTGAGGCAGCGTTATCAGCAGAGAGTGGATTCGAGGGACAGAAGGTAGGAAATAGCTGACTTGGAGAGCAGGCTAATGACACAGGCCACGTTATGATTGTCAAGCAATGTTGAGTGTTGGTTGAGATTTATGATCATCAGTTTAGAAACACCGTGTGTGTGTGTGTGTGTGTGTGTGTGTGTGTGTGTGTGTGTGTGTGTGTATGTGCGCGCGTTCGTTCGTTCCCAGGAGGAGTGTGAGTATAAGGCGTCAGTCCTTGGTTGGGGTTGTTCCAGGTAAGTATGTTAATGAGAGAAGGGCAAAGGAGTTAAGTATGTTGCAAGGGAGTGAAAATAGGGATGGATCATGGAATGTAAATAGGGAAGAAAGGGCATGAAAATAGATAGTAACACAGTGGTGAGGTAAATGATGGGGGGGATTTGATAAAGGTTAAATAATTTCTGGAGAGAGAATACAAAATAGGAGAACTGGATAGGAGGCAGTCAGTGTATAATGCATGAAACTGGATTTTGGAAGTCATGTGATGATTTGTGATGGCAGAGTTACAGGCATGACTTGAGCAGTGGATGCTTGACACGTGGTGGAGATTGATCATTTGGAGGTTGGGAGTTAAAGGAGCGAAGAGGCCAAAGTATTGGCAGTGATTTTTCCACAGATGCTGAAGTCACCAGAGATAAGAGCAGGGCTAGAAAGAGTAGTCGGGTGATACTTAACCAGTGCATGAGGGAACGTGACCGGGGGCCACTTGGTGCCCACCACAAGGAGGGTTATTGGGGGGTGTATACATTTCATGGCATGACATTGAAAATATCTAGGATTTTTGAAAGGGAAGGAAGGAAAAGTAATTTGGAGGAGAGAATAGGGAGCAAAAAAAATGTATCTTCCAGGTCGTTGAGCATAGGAGATGTAATATTTAAAAACAGTCAGTTAGAGAAAGAAACATTCAAAGGACGTAAGGGAATTTGCTGATCCCAGACTGTGAATTTCAGTGGGTGCAATGGAAGGGCTTGGGAGGGGGGAACATGAATTAGATGGGTGTGCTTAGTTGTTTCGGGAAAAGTCTGAGTAAAGATGGGTTCTTTGAGGTGACACTTGGGGTTCTTGATGGTAACCATTTGAAACTGGATGATAAGGGGCCGCTGGTCAGCTGTTTCCTTCTCTGGTCCTTTGCCTTGTGCAGTGGAGTGGCAGCTAAAGGGGAAGGAGGGCTTCCTGAGGGGGCAGCTCTACCAGCGCCCTTGGAGACACAGGATCCAGTAGGACTTGGGGCCATGGGGGAGGAGAGGCTCGTGGAGCATGAGGCCAGGGACCTTTCCATCGTCCCCGCCTGACTCAGTGTAAAAAGGACTCAGCGTCAGGCGGCCTGTGTTCAGATACTGCTAATGCTCTCACTAAAACCCACTTTTTCCCCTTTGATTGTCTAGGTCACTTTTACAAAGAGAAAGTTTGGACTAATGAAGAAAGCCTACGAGCTCAGTGTGCTCTGTGACTGTGAAATAGCCCTGATCATTTTCAACAGCTCCAACAAGCTGTTTCAGTACGCCAGCACTGACATGGACAAAGTGCTCCTCAAGTACACGGAATACAATGAGCCTCACGAGAGCAGAACCAACTCGGACATTGTGGAGGTAACTATCGAGTAAGGCCTGAAGTGCACATCTTCTTTCACTTGATAATTGGAACCATCGGATTGCTTCTTACATCCAAAGTATCATCTGTTCTCTGAGCCGTTTTCTGAGAAGGATCTAATTGTTGCTATATGATGACGCGCTTATGCGAGAAACATAGCCTATTCAATGAGACAAAATAAACTAAGCTGTTGTGCGATATACCCAATCTAATCTAATATTTCAGCTATGATTACTCATTTTATGAGTTTTCAATTAATATTCTGAGAAACTATCAGTTTGGACAGTATAAAGTTACAGTTTTAATGTCTTAATCATTTCATTATGTCAGTGACTATCCACAACTCTAAACACTAATGAAATGAAAGAAAATAATGTAAATAATAATTCTATTTTGTTCATAGTGCTTTAGTTGTGGGAGAAGGATGTCTTTATTTATTTTTTTAAGAAAGATACACTGCTGCCCATCAGTGTCTCTCTCATTCAGCCAACCTAATTAAGTGAAAAGAAAGGAAAGGGACTTTTAGAATGATTTCTATCTATTCAGAAAAAGTGTTTTTAAAACAAAACCTTCAGAAAGGAGAGCCAGTATGCGTCTCCTTTAATTCTTTTCTGCTGCAAAATCTTGTCAAAGGTAACTTTTAATGTATATTTCTAATAGCATTTTAAATTAGCTTCAGATTTACTTTTTTTGTTTGTTTATATTTAGAGGTTTTGCTTCATTTTTATTCTGAAAAATTTTTTTTCACTATTTGAAAAGATATATACTTTGGCTTAGTTTTATAATATTAGAAAACTATTTCAATAAATTAGGTATTTCCCTGGTGAAAGTACTTAAACCACATGAAATGATGCAGAACTAACTACAAAAGAAGAAATGAAGTTCCAATCTAGATTTTATTCGAATAATTGAAATTAAGATAAAGATCCTTTATTTTATTGTAGGAATCTCATTTATTTGCATCCACAGATTATGTTATAGTTCTGAGAATGTGTTTTCAATTTCCTCTGTATTTCTCTGCCTTAGCCATTCCTTTTTGGACAGTAATTGTTACTGAAAAAGAACAAAACAAACAAAAACCTTTGCTACTTGTATGAAAAGAGCACTTCTGTTATTTTTAAGCAGTTAATCAATTGTTTGAAAAGAGAAGTAAAAATATAGCATAATTACAGCTAGGACTGCTGGGTGCCTCCCCTGATGTGTGTGTGATGCTTTGAATTTTGTTGTTGTTGGTCCGTTCAGTTAAACTGCATGGTTGTATCTTAGCTAAACCCCTTAATGCCTTTATATCAATTGTGAATTATCTTGTATCATTTAGCATTTATGGTATATCTTATCACTTATGTTCAGTATGAACTATTTAGTAGACTCTTCCATAATGCATTTTGAACGTAATTCTGTAAATTAGGCGATCATCTTTCGGGTGAGCTTTATATAACTTCATAACTGGATTTCCTTGAAATAGAGAGTATCCCTGCTGGGTTTAAAATGACACCTTATTTTAAAAATGCCTATTTCTTATCAAAAGTTCCAGTATCTTAAGTCAAACAAAGAAACAGAGTTGCCTTTTAATACTTTAAACAAATAGATATTCAAGCTCATTTCATTATGGAAGGCATGCTTTGTTTTTAAGCTTTTTTTTTTTTTAAATTGGGGAACAGTGTGTTTTTCCAGGACCCATCAGCTCCAAGTCAAGTAGTTGTTTCAATCTAGTTGTGGAGGGAGCAGCTCAGTGGCCTGTGGGGATCGAACCGGCAACCTTGGTGTTATAAGTGCTGTGCTCTAACCAACTGAGCTAAACGGCCACCCCAGGCATGCACCTTCTTACCCCTAACTGCTTGGCCCTTTTATTGCCACAGTTGTCCTTGGCCCCCGGAAGTTGAGGGGACTTCACACAGCCTAAAGCTTGCTTCCTTAGATAATAGGAGGGATATAGTCTGATTTAACACTCTCCCAATTTTCAGATTACCTCAGTCTTCATCTCAGTTGTGGTCAGCGATCCAAGAGTAAGAAAGTAAACCCCACGCACCTTTTCAGCAGTCTGCTATTTACAGTCTACTTGAATATGAAGGAAAACTTTTGCAGCTCAGTTATCAGTTGGTGTTTTGACATTTTTCTTTTTAATTGAAATTCTTAGACACATAAGCGAACGTGAATCTTACCAATAGTTGTTTTTTTTTAAAGATTTTTATTGGGGAATTGGGGGGAAGGGAACAGTGCTGGGGAATTGGGGAAAGGGGAACAGACAAGTTGCTGTCGTTTTGTTCTTCAGTCTAGTTGTGGAGGACGTTTCTTCACTGGCCTAAG